TGGTATGGATCTGGAGGAGGACTTTTCTAAAAAAACTGATCGCTTCAGAGACTCATATTTGGCAATCATGAACATCAGTGTGACTCCAAAAATTTATGCTGTTTTCTTCCATGTGAAGCAATTCATTGAGATCAAAAAGGCTCCCTTGGGGATCTTTAGTGAGCAGGCAACAGAATCAATGCATCATAATTTCAGCTCACATTGGCAGAGATACAAAAGAGACCGCAATCATCCTGAGTATGCAAAGAGGCTTCTTTCATGTGTTGTGGACTACAACAGCAAGCATTTGTGAAGAATCAAATATTGAGGAGAATTTATTTTATGTACCATTTGCTCTTTATGTGTTTAGAATCAAGAGGTTGTTTTTGTGTTTTGGCTTAGAATAACTAAAAGAATTATTTAAGAAAGTGTTTATTATTTCCATCTTGTTAATGAAAAACTATATCAGTTGTGTCAGAATAAACTATTATTCAAGTGAATTTTAGACAGTTATGTTTTGGAGTAATAAATGCTTATTTTGAAGAGTTTTTGAATGCTGTAAAAAATCAAAATTTGAAAAGCTGTCATTTCGCCCTATTGTGCAAAGTACTAAAAACTAAAAATCAAAATTATTTTTTCGGACGAAATAGTTAGATTTCAAATTTTACATTTTTGGAGTCAGGAAACATTGTAGTTTCACCCTGTCAAAGCGTTTTCTCGGGTCAGCTCAAAGTAGTTTTTGATCATTTTTTACAACAATGTGAAAATAGGGTAAGAAACATTTCACTTATTATTATTAACAGATTTTTATACTATTTTTATCTTTTTATGTTCTTTTTTATTCAAGTGTATTAAATGTGTATGTATTATTTATACATCAAATGGATTTTTTAATTGTAATGTGTAATGTAAAAAGAATGAATATAAAAAAAGTGCAAAAATATATACAAAAACTGAAACTAAGTTTTTTTTTAGGAATGGTGTTTCTCAAAAAAAAACTAGTTTAGGTAGGGAAGAATACTGCGAAAAAATAACGATTGCTCGGATGCAAAATTTTGCATTTTAGACACTTGGTGAAAAATCCAAAAAGAAAAAAAAGTTAAAACACAAAGCAAAATAAAAGAACCACTGTACCAAAAAAAAAAAGAAAAAGAAGTTTTGATCTTTTTTTTTTGTTTCAAAAATAAAAATACTTTATTACGAATATTTGAGCATTACAACATGTTAAACGGCGTTATTTTTTTTTTTTTTTTTTGTCTCTTTTCCCTGAGCATAGCAACGTTTAGGTAAAAGGAAAAAATAATGCTTCAATTAAATTTGTGATTATATTTCTAAGATCACCTTAATACTCCTCGGGAATCTATACATAACACAACATTCTTTCAGACAATTGAAATACTTTCAGACTACTGACTATCCAATATGACAGTCGAAAACATTTTCAATCTAAAACTGTGACTTATAATTCTTTAGTAAAAGCAGTTAAAAGTAATTTTTTTTTTGATAATTATTTAAAAATAATTAACCTTCTCATTTAGTATAACCTATTCATTTAATATAAAAGTTTTCAAATTTGAAGTAATTTATCTACTTTACCACATATAATTGTTTTGCTTTTAAAAAAATATATTTTGTAGTTTAGTTGTATTAAAATTTTTTATACAGTTTCAGTTTTTTGTTACAATATTTTTTGAATTTAGCACATGTTTATAGTTACTAAGTTTAACGAATATATTACTATATGTAAAAAACAATAAAAACAGAATAAAAATAAAAAAAACGTCAAACATTTAGTCATGGGAAACTTGTAGAAAACTGTCTAAAATCTGGTCATCAGGAACTTTTATTATAAGTTTCAAGTATTCATATATTTGATTTGTGGCTACGTATATATTTTTCAAATATATTAAGTCATTTTAATTAAAACGTTTATAAATAATTGTGTGCACCTAGAACAAGTGTTTTGAATTTGGATTTTAAAAATCTTGTATTTGCCAGAAGAATTATTGAGGTACTTTTAAAAATCAATTTGTTAAATAAGTTAGGACCTCATTGAGAAATTGAGTTTTTTTTACGGAAACTGTTTATAGTTTCTCTAATGTTGAGTGTGTCAATTCAAAAATAACTTTAAAAAAATGTTGTTTTTGAATTGACGTGGATGTTTTCAATTGTATGTTTGAACATAAACAATACATTTTGATGTTAATTATTACAATCCATTATGATGCATTTATTTAAGTAATTACAAAGTAAATTTGTTTTTATACAATACAACTCTCTATGAAGGCGTGCGTGCGAATAGACTCACCCTTTTTGGAAACATTTGTATTATTAGCATTTACGTAAAGATTCCAAGTTAAATTCTCGTCAATAAGCACACAAGTATATTTTAACGATTCAGTTTTTTCTACACTAAGAATCAGTAAAATTAATAATAATGCATTTTTTGTTTTTTTAGAGTGGAATAAAATAAGTTTAGTTTTGTTTGAATTTAATGAAAATTTATTAATTTTGAACCTTGTGTTAAGTTATAGAAATTCTATATTTACACTTAAGAAAAGACCGCTAATAGAACTAAAACAAGTGCTCAAACCTACATCAAAGACTGCTTCAAATCTTGTTTGTGCTAGTGAGATGAAACAACTATTTTCAGGCGCACTAAAAAAAAAAAAATTGCGTGACAACACTGAAGTTGTCTTAGAGTACTTTTTTTGTTTTGTTCACTTAACAATATTTTCTGGTAAAAATGTCGTTGTACATAATATATGAGAACAAGGATAGTTAGGGTACTTGAACAGTGAGGATATTGCAATACTCAACCATCCACCGTACACGCTGGACCTGGCACGAAGTATTTTTTGGCTTTTTATCAAAATCAATCATTTATTCTATGAACATTAAGATATTCAAGAAAAAAAGCAGACTACAGACTGCTGCTGGAAAACCTAAATAACAGTGGTCAGATGTTTGAGAAGTATTTGAAGCCAAAACAACTATGCATTAAATTTTTATTTAAACAATAACTTTTAATGACCTACTCTTTAGTTCTTTTAATTTAATAATTACTTCTTATAATTTACCCTTACAATAATTACTTTTTATAATTTATCCTTATAATAATTACTTAATATATTTAATTATTAGTACTTCTAAATGCTAAAATGTAGTTGTTTTAAAAGTCTATAAACTTTGATCTAACTTATGTTACAAAAAACAAAACAAAAAAAAACAAAACAAAAAACTTAAATATCTTTTATTTATTATTACTTTTAAATTTAGGGGCAGTTTAGAGACTAGAGTTAAACAAAACCCTGAAAATAAATGCTATTTTACAGGTCTTGTTTAAGTCTAGGTTTTCACGATTAATCAGACATATTTAAAGTTAGACCAATCTTTCTTAACATATGACCCCATATTAACCCCCCCCCCCCCACATTATAAAAGTAAAAATATTACTGTAGTGAGCAATAATAATAACGATTCAAAATATTGAATAATGCAAAATAACTTTAGGCTGAACATAAAACTAAAAAGTATTCCCTGAGTTTTCCCTGATCTTAAGGAATTTCAGTCAAGTTCCTGACTGAAATTCCTTAAGTTCCAGGAATTCATTGATTTTCTAATTGTTTAAAACTTTTCCCTAGTTTTCCAGGTTTTCGCTAAGCGCCATGACGATGTTACAAACGATACATTTCTTATTGCGACCATATATATTTTTCCCCTCTTAATTTGAGTAAAAACTTGATCATGCTGTCACACTCCCCTATAATAACTTTATATACAACAGATTTGTAATATATTTTATAATATAGTACGATTTTTAGAAATTAATTGTGACGTTTCAACAAATATACTTAGAAACTTGTTCACACTGTTGAAATGAAAAAGATATGAAATTTTCTTCAGCTCGAATCAGCATATACATAAAATCTGCTTTTATACCGTCACAAACTTTAATAAGAGTTTCATGCTTTTCTTTTCATTGTTTGTCATGTTACCGTACACAAAACTGTACTTTTTATATTTTCTTTGGATCTGCCAATGATTTTAAATCATCTTAGGACCTGCCAGTGAATTGATGAGAAAAGTTGTTTTTACGTCACAACATTCAAATTTTAATCTTCATCTTCAGAAGATAAAGTTTTCGATTTTTTTCTTTTTTTAGACGGAGGGTTTTGGCTCTGAACGTTATTTTCATCCTCACTATCTTCTTCGCTTGCCTGAACACAAATTATAAGCAATAACAAATTATATTTATAATTGTAATTTTTAAGTTAAACGTTATAATTTTTATGTTTATACGTTATATTACCTCGTCTTCATTCTCACTTTCAGAAGAATCAGACGAATTACTCTTCGCTAATTTACCGACATTTTTAGTGTTTCTTGTTAGACGCTTTGTTTTCCGTTTTCTGGTCATTCGATCAGGTAGTTCATTAAACTCTGATAAAAGTGATTTACACCTAGGAAAAAAATGGCAGCCTAAGAAAAAAGCATATAAATGAAATGGGTTGGAAACAAAATACTAACTAACACAATGCAATTGCTTATTAATTAAAAATATGATTTCAAATAATGTTCCAAGAAATATTTTTTATTTCATCATGGAAAAGAACCTCATTATAAAAATAAAGTTGTCTTCAGTGATTATTACAAGATAGTATTATCTTCTAAAAACAACGTAGTAAATGATACCCTGATAAAATTATAATAATATATGAAAACTAGGCAGAAAGTTTACTCGATCACCAATAAAGTAAAAAACTTGATTTTACTAAAATAATGTTATACCAGCGTTTTCTCTTTCAAAATAACTTATTAGACACGGTTAACATAATAAAATAATCTGTTGATACAACCAGCTAGTATAAAGATTGTCTTGGGTAGGGTTGATTTAAGGTGGCATCTGCACCACCCAGGCATGAACTGTGAGTAAAATTACTTGTATTTTAGTACAATTATTTCAATTTATTATTATACTTACTTTGTCTTGGTGTTAGTATCAGTTATTGATTTTTTTGCATTAGTTAGAGCGTAACGTAATGATTCATACTGAAACACTGAAAAATACAAAAAAATTTAGTTACTATAGTTACTGTAATTACTTTTAACATTAGCAATTTAGTTTATTTCGCAAAACTAATAAATAATTAAAAACTTATAAAGTTACAAAAAAAATATTACTTAAAGTTAATATAAAAAATCTAGACGTAGAAATAATCTTTCGGAACTTTAGTTTTTTCATGTCTATTTATGCATAATCTTTCAAATTTTCATACTTATGCTTCTACCTATGTTAAAACAGTCAACATATATACACATGTACTGTAAAAATTTCTTTTCATTCATTATCCAAAATTCTAAAAAACATCACAATCTTGCACTTTATATGATGACGTCATATTTTCCTCATACTTAAATTACCAACTTACTAACTAAACTACAAATTCTTTATTTTTCCTTTACTCTAATAAAACGTTACTTTTTTAAGTATCATGTTAAATAAAAACAATTACTAAAAGTAATATCGTCATATTATTAAATATGTTACATTTACATTACAATATTATTGCAAATAAAGCTTCAAAGTAGAACTAAAGCTATAAATATACAATCTCAGATTGCTGAAGATTGAACAATTGAAGTGAATGGACAATATATAACAACTTAACTCTACATCGTAGTAGTTTGCGTAACCAACCAGATAAAGTTATGGCCAGTGAGTCCGGGGATTTAGATTCAAGTCTTTCCGAAGGGCTGAATTTTTTTAGTTTTTGTTAATTACAAATGCAGTTTATTTTTTAACGCTTTTACGTTATAACTGTTATTGTTTATTAACTATTAAGATTTAAAAAAAATCAATTTATTTGGCGGAGCAATAATTCATAAATCGACTGATATTTAGGGAGAACGCTCAAAGCACAGAGTGCTAAATTGACCGCCAGGTTGTATGTCTGCACACTCTGAGTTTTTTTTTTGTATCATATATAGATACCTACTAATTGTAAAAAAAAAAAAAAAATTAAACTCACGCCAATCAAAGGATCTTTTTTTGGTAATAATATTTTTGAAATCTTTTAACTCATTTGACATTGCTTAGATGTAAAATTCACAGTAAATGCCCCCAAAATTAAAATATTAATAGAAGAAAATCCTAAACCACCAGCGAAATTACAGAAAAAGGAAAAAACTACGAATAAACGATAACCAATATAGTTTATTAGTATTGTAGACTGTTAAAAAAACAATAACTAAATCTCTAAAAAGCAATTGTACTTTTATTTCGTTAGTAAATAATTCAATAAGTCACATTTTAATTTTTTTGTCTTGTTTTATTGTGTCGATTCGAGACCATACGATGCTATACAATTCTTTTTATTATCGGTATCTTTTGGTATCGAAACGATACTGATAGTACTGACATTGGTACATAAGCAATACCATGCGATATGAGACCATTCTTCTATCGACAGTATATGATACCAATTATCTAGTGTCTAATTACAATTCCACCAAGAGCTGATCAAAGAGAGATTTTAAACTTTGTAACAAGTGCATTGCCAATGCATGGAACAGGTTGCCAAAAAGCCTAGTGTAATCTCCACCTGTAAAGAGTTTTAAAGTGAATTTTGATAGGCTTTTAAGTTACAACAGCCCAAACTCTCTTTTATGGAAGTTGCATTACAAATTTCACAAATATCTATCTACCTATCTATCTATCTATATATATCTATATATATATATATATATATATATATATATATATATATATATATATATATATATATATATATATATATATATATATATATATATATATATATATATATATATATATATATATATTATACTCATATTTTTTATAATACTTTCAAAATAATTCTTTAATAAAAAAACAATGTCTCTCAAAGCAAAGGAGTTTTATAACTGCAGTTTAAAACTTTCAAAAGGTTTAATAATGAACTTTAATAAAAAAAAACCTTGTTTCGTGCATTATAAAAGATAATTTGAATATATCATATAATACTGTATAGCTTTCCTTGACAAAATATAACAATATAATAAATGTATGCAAATTGATTTTCATATCATATTAAAAGTTTCATTTTTTTGTTTGTTTACTAAGTACAAAACACAAATTTTAGTATTTTTAATTTTTGTTACTGTGTTGTATTTTCTGTGCACTAATACAAGATGTTTAAAATAACTCACATTTCATGTCGTTAACCTCAACACAATGATTGTAAAAATTGTTTAGATGACATAAAATCTGTTCAACAGATGGATTAAATTTTTGTGATCTAAAAAGTTAAATTTTGAACATAACAAAATTGTAATATATAATTACTGTTAGATTTTAGATTTTTTATATACCAAAAGGAAGCAAAAGATACTCGAACTAACTTGGATTTTTTTGTCACATTTTTACTGAGCATTTGAGCGATAACATGTGCCAGCTCTCTTGCATCTTCTTGACACCAGGTTTTAAATAGACATAAACTAAATTTTTTTCCACAACCATCTAACTTCATGCATAAAATTGGTTTAATAATCTCAAGATGAGGACTGGAAAATAAAAAATATTAGTTACACCAAGTAATTTGTTGCTAATTGTTGCTATACTTTTACGTTCAAACAAACAAAAAACCTTAAACATTTATACAGCCATATTTGCTTTATCATACTGATTTGATTCTCTTTAATTTTATTTATTCCCTAATTATTCACTTAGTCTCCTATTTTTATTTAATCTCCTTTTTTTAATTTAGCTCCTTTCACTTCATCTCCATGTTTTTGTGGAAGAATAAAATTATATTTATATTTTTAAACGTGTCCAACCATGTTTAAAAAAATCTTTACTTTATTTATAGGTAATGATAGGAAGAGCTTGTAGTTTGTAAAAATTTAATTTGAAAGATTTTTACTAATATTGCTTCATTTAAGTTTTAATAAATTATAGATTTTCAAAATTATACTTTTCTCATCAAATTATGTTGTCAAAACACACAGTGACTCAGTGAAATTTTCTTTCTTTTTACACAATGACTTGAATATAAAAACAAATTGGCAAATTATTAAGAAAAAATTATTTACTTAAACAGTATGAAATTTACTTTGCAGGTTTGGTCAGGAAGCGGGTGCAATCGCACTCGATAACTGACCACGGAAATAATATTTAGTTGCAAAAAACCGGCCAGATATTTTAGTCGTTTTGAGACATTTAAATTTATGTATGTTTTCTTAATTGAGTTCATTATTTTATCGTAAATTTTGTTTACGGACATACATGGAAACATACATACACTCGAATGTTCTCTAACATCTTTGTGCGGAAAAATAAAAAAAACACACAAAAAACCCGCCAAATCTACGAACAACTAATTCTATTGGTTCAAAAAAAACTAACCGAAATTTCTAGAGTATTTTGTTGAAATATTTTTAAAAATTGTATTATTTGAGTTTTGTTATGTTTTCGTTGTGATTTCTAGCACAAATTGTTTTAAGAATATCAAACGAACTATTATTTTGATTCTTAGTGTCACATCTACAAAGCTATAAATGTTTTAAACTAACATTATTTGTTTACAAAAAAAAATGTTTTAAATTTATCTTTTTTAACTTGTCAACGTTTTGTGAAAATATTATAGATTTTATTAGTATATTCTTATTTTTTATATAAGGGATGTATTTTTTATGCATGTAATGTATTTTTTATGTATATAATGTATTTTTATGTATGTATTTTTTATAATTGTAATTGTTGTGTGTAATTTTATGTAATTTGTAATTTTATGTAATATGTAAACATGTAATTTTATGTATGTGTATTTTATTCAAATGGAATCTTTTAAAGCAATTTGTGCGATTGATTTTGTAAACAAAAATACTTTCAATTGTAACTGCGTTTTCAATGAAATTATTAATAATCATCAAAGTTAATACAAATAATTTTAACCACTAATCCATTTTCCTCAGTGTAACTGATAACTGATTCTTTCCCCCAAGAAAAAAAAGTTTTTAAGTTCTTAGAAAATGGTTTACTAACTTCATTTATTTTTGCTTCAGCCATTCTTACAAACTCTTTATACTTAAACTTAAAGTTACTTTTTTCTGTTTTAAATACTAATTAAAAGTATAAAGCCCACTTACTAAACATTATCAGCGTTATTGTGAAGCAGTTCCGCTTCCTCCTCACATAGTAGTTTAACGTTTTTAGTTAATTTCTATTTAGCTAATTGAATTTCTACAGTAACTCAATGATTTAATTAATTAATTTGTTCATCTTACTAAGAAAAATTGTTTCAAATGTGTTAAACTTTTCAAACTACGCAAAGTATAAAACAGTTATTGAAAGAACTTTTTTATTTATAAATAAATCATCTAGCGTTAGTTTTATTGATTAAATCTTGTTATACTTTTCAGGGCCAGGGGCTGCATTATTTTGGCGGCTTTTTTTATGTGCCACAGCGTAAAAATGACTGGAAAAAATACCGAATGGTCCTCTTGACTATTTCGCGGCCCCTAACATTGTGAGTCCCGAGGCTATAGCCCTTCTACTCCCCCCCACCTCCTTAATCCAGCACTGGAAATAAGACACAAATATTTAAATAAAAATTATATATACTTTTTGAGAAATTGGAGAACATTTGTTTCCTTATTAAACAATCATTAATAGTAAATTGTTACTTTATATAAAAAATGTCACTTAATTTTATAAAAAAAAATTATAAGGGCGACATTTCAAAAATATTTGCTCTAATCGTATTTATTTTGCTAAAAGTTTTTTTGCGTTAAAAGCTATTTTTCTTTTTTTAACTGTCTCTCATCAATCCAGTTAATCTTATTGCGCTTTTTTGTTTGTTTTTTAAATGTTCTCAAAACGACTAAAAAATCTGGCTGGTTTTTCGCAACTAAATATTATTTCCGTGGTCAATTATCAAGTCGGGAAGTGGGTGTGAACCCGCTTCCCGACCAAGCCTGCTTTGCAGTATGAAATCCCTTATTTATGATAACATTTTTTAAAATACAGAAAAAATTTATGACTAATATGATAATTTTTTCATAATAGATGATTATTTAATTCCTCTTGTATAACATTTTTCTAGATAAGTTTTTATTGAAGAGGAAAAACTTTTACATAAAATGTACTCACAATGTTATTATGATAAATCAATAATTTTTTTTTGTCGTTATTGCTTACCTTTCGGATCGTAAAATCAAAAGTAATTGGTTTAATGGTTCGTAATGTTTCTTTTCATCAACTAATGGAAGTATACCAACACACATCTCAGCAGGAGTTTTTTCTGCAAGTATCAGTTGCCATAGAAATGACTGTTCAAATGATGTCCACGATAGTGAGGACTCTAAATCAATAAATTTCTTGAAAAAAACTTTTATATATTACCTAAAAGTTCATTTTACTCTAATTTTCTGCTTTTTAATTGGTAATTTATGAATATATGTTTATTGACAAAAAAAAACTAATTGTAATCACTATTTACTAATTACCATCACATGGATATTTTAGGTGGTATTTAGTTATAATCAAGATTTCCTTGATAAAGAAAATTTGTCATACTCAACTGTTGTAGTAAAAAAAACGTCAAAAAAAAAAAAAATAGATATAATGATCTATATAAAAAATACTTTAATTGTCTAATATACTAAACAATTAAAGCTTTATGTACTGGAATTAAATAAACTTTAATTATTAAAAACATGTTTGTAAAAAATGTTTTTATATTTATAAGAAAAGCTTTGAAAAAATAATTAAAAAGGAAATATTTAGCAAAATTTAAAGCGAAAAAATATATAATACCTAACAAGCTAACAACTTGATTTTCACCAATAATTGACAAGTTTCCCATAAGAATATTAGATATCAAAGAATTCATCTTAAAAAAAAAAAGATTGCAATAGAAGCAACAAAAATATTTAGTGTAATAGAATTCAATCTACTTGATCAGGGTGTATTTATTGTAATAGAAATCAATCTACTTTATTAGGGTAAATTTAATGTAATAGAATTCAACCTACTTCATCAGGGTGTATTGTTGAAACTAGCATTCTAATAATTTCTTCATTTCCAACCAGCTGATTTTTAAAACGCTTAAACATTGACTCAATTAAAAACATAAACAGGTGGGGATCGTATTCATAACAAATCTATAAAATAATACAAAAAAGTTGTTAACTTAGAAAGAATAATATAAAAAATAGCAAATAAAACAAAGAAAAAGATTTAAAAAGTTCATGGCGCTGTTTTCAGCACCAGAACTTTAACTATAGGTATTCTATTAAAAGATTTCAAAACCAATCTAGAATTAAATTATATGACTTTGTCTTGAAAAATGAACCTGGCTTTTACAAAGGACTATAAAAAATGTCTTCTTACTTTTAAATCTTGTAAAAGAACTGACTTCAAAGTTCTATCTTTAAAAAAGTTGACATAGTCTTCATAGACTGACAATTTTTCATCATCCTTATAACTAATATTGTAAAAAAAAAATTATTAAAAAATATATTACTCTAAAAATATATCCCAGAAAACATTCTATAGCAGAATTTTATTTGACCTATTTAGGGATTTTAAGCAGTCAATATTAGTTAAGCTCATCAGTTACTTAGTGGACCATTAGTGGGAGCCACTATCACATGTTAGAAAATTATTAACTTGTCACTTATAATATATGACACTTATGGTCTACTAAGTAAATGATGAGAAAATCTCCAATTAACCGGTCAAAATGTCTATATAAAAACATAATGAAAAAGTAATGCATAAATTAAATAATGTCAAACAGAAATATATTAATAATAAAATTTATAGGCACTTACCAAGCTTTTAAGAAAAATAGAAAATGATAACCTATTTTTCTATCAATTTCGTGAATTCCATTCAAGAGAGTATATATATTTTCTAGATTAATATCATTCTTCGACAGAGCACATATTGACCTGTGTTTTTATAAATATAGGTTACGTTATGATTGGCGATTCCTTTACAAATAAAAAAACAACAACTTAAACAAAATATTCCTTTATTGTTAAATTTATACTTATTTTTTATATGTAAAGTTTTTAACTACTCTTATATGATATTTTATACGTAAAGTTTTTAACTACTCTTATATGATATTTTAGTTTGCTAATTAACAATTTTTTTCTGATAAAATTTCATGCAAGATTTTTACAAATGTAAACCATTTTTTATTCAGAGATTTTAACCCTAATCTAAAAATATATATAGAACATACATAAGAAAAAGAATAATAATAACAAAAAAAGTATCCTTCATATGTACTAAGAAGTATACTAAAGTGAGGATATAATATATTAAAAAAAAAAACATTTTCAAAATTTTTATTCACTTAAATGATCAAAGTATTTGCCTTTACTTTACTTTACTGTCCTTACTTGCCCTTAAATTTATCCAACTTTAAACACGCCTAGATTAATTGTGAAACCTCATATATCAAGATGAATGTTCATATTATCAACTAACTACATATCAATATATAGCATATACAGCATATAACTGTTTTAAAATAAACAGTTTTATGCTCATATTAATCAATTTATATATATATATATATATATATATATATATATATATATATATATATATATATATATATATTTATATTAATTTATTTATATTATTATTATATTAACTAATTAAAAGCTTTTAAACTTTACAAAAACTTAATAAATAAAACTGAAAATTATCATTAATTCTGGACTAAGTAGGTACTGCCTACTACTAACATCCCTAAGAAGATACTACCTGCTGCTGACATCCCTAAGTAGGTACTGTCTTCTACTAACATTCCTAAGAGGGTACTGCCTGTTACTGACATAGGTACTACCTACTTGAACTCATATCCTGTCAATGTATGCAACAAAACCCCCACAGATAATTATTTCAGAAAATTTTTTGACTTATTTAATGTTTTTTTATGTAGATTGTGCCTGCACAATTTCAAACTATCGGTATATGTACTGAAATCCTCACAAATATCTAATTTTGTCATTATATACATACATATGTAATGCATACCTGAAAATCACATATTGAGGCTTATCAAGCTTTGACTCAATTGCTCTAAAATTAATACATGAAATATACATGACAGTAAATTTTTTTATCAAATAATTGTTGAACTAAATAAAACATTTTAACTAAAAATACTTTTCAGCAACATCTTCAGTCAGTTTGTAATGATCACTTGGCATAACTGGCAATGAGAGTTCATCAGCCAAAACATTTGCTAAGCATACACACAATGGAGAAGCTATCTCCTCATCAAAATCACCCTAATTTAATTAAGATTTAAAAAATAAAAAAATACTTTTTTAGATTCTAAAAGAGATCAACAAAATAACAAATAAAACTGCATTTTTTGCAAAAAGCACTTTATTAAAAAAAAATTTTTTTTTTTGTTTTTTGAAGTTAAAAATACTTTAAAAGAATGCTTCAGCTAAAGTTTATTTACTTTGAATATTTTATGATATAGTACATTTTGATTAATAAAGTCAATCTAAACTTGTCTAAAATTTGTTTACGAATTCAACCTGGTTTTTAACACATGTCAGCAATATAAACCACCTAGACATTTTTTTTCTCGTTGCTCCCCCCCTCCTCCTTTCCCATTATTAAAAAAAAAAATTGTTTTTATAAGGAGAATTCCCATTGAAACGTTCAATGACAGCACTTTTATGACTAGAACCTGATTTAAACTTAAGATCTTTGAAATCTAAAATCTAATTTAAACTTAAAATTCTTGAAATCTTAAATGAATTGGTGAATGTTAAAAGGGTGGGAGTCCAACTATGTAAAATTTTGGGAAACTAAAAAAAAACTGCATTTTCCCTTGTAGTAATTTTTTGATAACAGTTTAATAATTTTTTTTTGAAGAGGATAATATTTTTCATCTTCAAATAAATTTTTGTTTAAATCTTTTTCTTTTTCACCTTCAAATAAATTTTTGTTTAAATCTGAATCGTTTTTGCATAAAATAAATAAATTTATTTTATATAAAAACGATTAAGAAAAAAGTTTCAACAAAAGCTTCAAACATTTTGATGGTAAAAGACTTAAACAAAGTTTTTGTTTAAGTGTTTGCAATTAAAACCAAAATGTAATTTTTTTCTGTGAGCACAAGGATCCAAATGTTTGTATAAAAAAAATATATTTGGTTTTTTTTTAATTGAAAAACTTGCTGACATGTTAAAACAATTAAAAAACAAAAAATTTTTATTTGCTGTTAAATTTTAGTTAGATTAGATTGTAAAACAATACACAATCAACAAATATTTAATTTTTTTATTGAAAGTAATGTATAACTTTAACTTAATCATACCATAGATTCAATGTTTGAAATAATTGCTTCCATTGCTTCTGACGACTCATTTCTGTTTATAAAAAATAACAAAAAATCTAGTTTTAAACTTATAATTTTTTCAAATTTTGAAACTGTTTTAATTTTGATTATTATTTAATATTGTTTATTACTATCTTTATATCTTGTTAATTGATTAATAACCTTTGCTCTAATAAAATAAAAACAACTTTTTTTTTAAAAAAGAAAATATTTACTTTTGATTCTGCAGTTTTAAAACATTGTCTTTCAGTAAGTTACTATCTAGATTCTGAAATTCTTCCAAATCAGTAACATCTACTCCATCAAATTGATGATGTTTGGTTATTTCTGTTTTGAGTTTAAAATCTTCTTCTTTAATGGTAATTGGTCGAAATGAAGCAGAAGATGGTGCAGATAAGAACTATGCAAAAGATAATAGTTAATAATTTTTACATTAATGTAAAAATGTACTAATGCTAATAACGTTATATAATGTAATAACAATAATAATGTACTAAATCTTATTTAGGTCAATGTAGAAATTTTCATTTAGGTCCAACTTATCTACTACTGCATATTAGGGTTATCACAATATTATATATTATATTTTTTATACATTAATCCAGACACTTTTGTTAAAAAAAGAAAAACAAAAAAGAATAATAGATGTCTTTCATGCATAATAGATGTCTTTCATGCATAGATAGTGCCTCAACAAACCCAATCCCTCAGTTGATGTATGTACATTAACTTATATATAAAAAAAATATTTAGGTATGTTATTGTCAGGGAACAATGCCCTGATATTAAAGGAATCTTTTAAAGTGACCAGACAAGAGTTTGTCTGCAAAAAAATAAAATAAAACCTTTTTTGTATTATCTATGAGAAACTTTTCCAATTTCAGAAAAGAATATGGACTAATGTGTGCTGAAAATATTAGTATTGCGCAAAACTTAATTAGTGTATAGTGTATAGTATAGCAAAAATGAATGGAAAAAGAAAAAGGAAATTATAAAGTAACAAAGTAATAATGGATAACTTTTTTTATCTCATTATAAATTCTCATTTTTAGGATAATAGTAATATTATTAAGGCATATTTAATTTATAACAAATTAATATGAAAACTAATTTTATTAAACACTTTTAGATTAAATAAAATGGCTAAATAATCATAGAGCTCCTAATGAATTTATTAAAGCGACATCAATTTTAGCAGCTAGATATAATGATAGAATACAACCACAGACTGCAAATATGTTCTTGTCAAATCTAACTTCATTAAAATAGAACCTAGATGTGTTCACATAAAACGATTCAAAATAATTTGGTAAACAGGCCACTTTCTGAAAAGCAAATTATTGATTTACTAAAAGGTATAAGACTAGTTTTATATTTTGACACTAAATTAGTAAAAGAACATTTAAGAAGTTGGAAAATATTAAGCAATTCAGTTGCTGAGTGTAAAACTTTGTTACAATATGGATGCAATGCAGGCTTAACATATAAGGTGCATATTAGGGGTATTCAATACTTCAAAATTTTCAAAGTATGATTACAGAAGAAGCCGACTTTGGGGCAAATATTAAAAAAATTCTAAAAATATTGACATTTATCTTGTTCTCAAGTGGGAAAATACCCCGAAAAAATTTCAAAATTTTTTTTCTCCTAATGTGCTTATAATGGTCTAAATTTTTTTTCAGATTGTTGTGTTTCCTGTTTTTTTTTCATAGTTGTTGTTTTAAATAAAAATTATGCACATTTTAACGTGCATTTAACAAATGAAATCAACTTTTATTTGACATTAAAAGTGTGAAGACACTTAAGTGTTATTAAAAATCCACTTTTGTTTGCTTTGTTTTGCTTAGTTGCATTTTTCTATTGTTTTAATTTTTCTTAAATAATGAACAAGTTTCTTTTAAGCTTTTAAAAAGTCTTCAAAAGAAAAAAACTGTAACAGTAAATTAAGATTAATCTATATTGCAAAATTATGCAGTAAACATTTTAGTTTCATCCCATATTTTTAACAAACTAATTGTCATTTCTTTCAAAATGGTGTTTCAAAACATTGGTTAAGTTATAATGGAAAGTTTGATAGAAAAAAAAGCAAGATTCACAAAAAGTGATAGATGTAAGTGCAAATGAGAAACAAATGAGAAAAAGTGAGAAACTAATAAAAAGTGGAAAAGAAAAGCGAAATAAAAAAAATTAAATTAACATATTCTATTATTGAGAAAATCAAACCAGCAATACCAGCTAATGAATTTGTTATGAGTTTTAAATATTATTTCAATAAGATTTCATGTTACAGAAAAGCAACCTGAATTTTTTAGTTTTTTAATTGATCAACTGCCAACTGGATTGGATATTTTTTACAGCACATAGCTTTTAATCAGTCTATGCTTCCTAAAACATCAAAAAAATCTTTAATACCTGCTTTTTCAATAAAAAAAACCCCGGAAATATGAAAGATGTGTTTAACGGCACTATAAATGTATTCTTAGTCAAATAAACGGTTTGTGGCTTGAAGCCACAAATTTTCTCTTAAATCAGATAATAGCTTGATTAAAAAGTTAAACAAATAATATTTTAATTTAAAAAAAACACACACACACAAGATGTCATCTTTAGAATTGAAAAAGTAACAAGACTTTAGAAAGGAAGTTGGAAAAATCTAATGGGTAGGAATACCTGACTTAACTGGATAAAAAAGGACAAAAATCCAACCTATATAAGAAAGAGGACCTAGATTTTATATACGATCAAGAACATGACAGGAAGTTATTTCTATGGCCATAAGATAAGAAATACAGCAAGAAGGTAATTCATTTCATAACCTTATAATCCTGAATTTAAAAACTACTTTCTGCCACTTTTTCCACTATTGAATTTTATTTACTTATTTATATCATTATCTTTTTTAATAAAAAGATTAACACCAAACAATAATAATTATAATTATAATAAAAGTTATATATATGTTATTTAGATTTTAGAAAATACAAGAAATAGAACTTCATCTAAAAAGATGCTGCAAAATCAGTGAAAGTTAGAAATTCAAAGTTAAAACTTAATCTAACATGAGACCCAAGCAAAGATTCATTGATTGATTCAGATTATGACCCAGGATATAAGCAATCTTCAAAGTCTAATAGTATAATAAAAGTTGAGATTCCAAGAGATATTAATTCTGGTAATGTCCTAGTTGCTACAATTACTACAGTTACTGCTGCTCTTAGCTTGCAGTAGTAGTCTCTTAGCTTGCAGACATCATGCTTTTGAGTTAAAAATCACACTTTTGTGATGCTGTAAGGAATGAATAAACTACAACCCCTGATAATTCTCTGTTTAAATGATTTAAAAACATGTTTGAACAGCCTAATTTTGAGTATAAACCATCTTTGCTAGTTAAATTTCTTTGGGATGAAGTTAAAGAAACTGTTGTTGAAAGAGCTGCTATATAATCTCTTGACTATTGTAATAGATTTTACTAATCAAGACATAATATTGTGATAGGTTTGTAATAATATTACATAATATTGTAATAAGTATTGTAATAGGTTTTACTAATCAAGACATAATATTGTCAAGGAAAATAGAAAAGAGCTAACATACATGGTATCTAGATTCAAATCTGATTCTTTTAGCATTGCTGGATAATGATGTTGCACTTGAAATGAAGAAAAAAATTGCTGCTGCAATATTATCATATCCAAAACCAACGCCATGCCATTTGAAATCAAAAAACATTAAAAAAATTGTTAACATTTGAACTAAACATTCATCAGCAACCATCTAACCATGAGAATTCATCAATCCTTTGGTTGATGAACTCTCATGGTTAATGTTTGAGATGATTGGAATAGATAAGCAATGAATTGAGGACTGGCACATGCAATCTTCATGTTGGGACATGCAATCATCATATAGATCAATTCTAAACTTTGCAAAAAGTATTGTTTTTATAAACGACCATGCTGAGAGGGCTATTGGAATGATGCAACAATTTGTTCACCGCTAAAGAGATAAGGACGAAAAACAAAATAGACTTATTTCTATGGACAAACATCATTTAATTGTTAAGGCATCAGACAGCGAATCGTTATTAACCAAGAAAATAAATAAGCATGAATTAAGCAAGAAAAGAATCACAGATGGATTACTTAACATACCTTCCAAATTACAGAAGATAAATTAAAATAAGTTACAAAAATTAAAAAAAAATTGTATCATTCAATCAAAATTTTATTCTAAAAAGATAAATAAAAATAAAAATGAATGTCTTTTTGAGACATCAAACAATTTGATTATATATAATCATATAAATGCAGAATTATTATGCATTATTTTGTTAAATGCCCATCAAAATTATTTTTTTTTTGCAAATTTTTTTTTAATTTAAACAATTATGAAAAAACCAGAATACAACAAACTAAAAAAAAAATTTAGACACATAAGCACATTCAAATTTTTTTTTACAAAATACAAAGATTTACCTTCCGCTCAAAGCCAAATTACTTGGAAACTATTTGGAGCATTTTTCAGGGTATTTTGTCACTTAAGCACAAGGTAAATGTCAATATTTTTGGATTTTTTTATTTTTTATTACCCCTAGTGCATATATCCTACTACATGGAAGCTCTCAGAGGAAAAATAAAGGGTCTCCATTGAGGATTTTATTTAAAGCAAAAATGGCATTTGTCATAAGGTGCATTTTATGGCCGTAGACTTAACTGCCTTATATTGAAAATGACAAAAAATGTGGTATAAATTAAGACAAAAAAAGAAGAAAATGAGGTAACAGAAAACAAGTTTTTTTGCAGCTATTTTTTACTCATTGTGGTTTTTAAGTGGCTTAGTGGAAAGTATTAAATATAAGTTACTTTACTAAAATACTTTTTGTTTTAACAAAGAGTATAAAAGAACAATCTTAGTACTTAACTCTTCAGCTTGAGTTAGCAATTGGAGATGATGAGATTGAAGATAGTGAAAAGATAAAAATGATTAACAGCTTAAATTTCCTACTGCTACTTTCCTACTGCTACATTCCATATATCATCACAATATTCAAATTCTTGATTCCGAAACAAACCAGGTTCAAAACAAACTGTAGATATGTTTTCGCGTCATGGTAAGAAAGGAGGCGTGAACTTCCTAGTTAAATGCACTTCGGCGGTACCCTGTGATAAGACCGTTAGGTCTTCTTGGGGCACCTAAATAACAAAATTAAAAAAAAAAAAAAAACACTTTCTTTTTTGATTGGTTCAAATTTCAGGTTTCTTTTTGCAATTATTGGTGTTTCAAAAGGAAAAAGATGAAGAGTTTATGGTGGAGTAAAATAGAATACTGAAGGTTTTTGAAAGTTCTATTTATCAAATATCTATCTACTACCAATGACTGTACAAAAATGTCAAATATCTAATAAATATATACCAATGACAGAAAGAACCTAATTTAAGATTATTTGAAAGCATCTACAAATGAAGATGCAAAGAAAAATCTCATAATAAGAGACTAGAAGACTGTAAAAAAATTACAAATTCTGGCAGAAACTTATCAAACTTCTTCTTTGAAACTTTACATCTAGCAAAGTAACTAACTTTAGATTAAATTTTTTTTCAAATTTACCAAATCTTTACCAAATCCCATAGTTTTGAGGGTAAAGTCTCTTGATTTTCAAGTTTTCATCATTTTTTGGAACACCCTAATAAACATGTGCATATGTATGTATGTATGTATGTATGTATGTATGTATGTATGTATGTATGTATGTATGTATGTATGTATGTATGTATGTATGTATGTATGTATGTATGTATGTATGTATGTATGTATGTATTTATGTATGTATGTACATACTTTATTATTATACAAAGTTACCAAATGCATTAGTGCATACTTTTTTTTCTGTGACTGGATCAACCTGAGATGGAGGAGGTGGTGGAATTTTTTCATCATCATCTTCATCAGAAAAAACTGCTTCATCTGTTATAATTTCATCTTCAATTGTTTGTGGTAGTAATGTGGTTGAATCAAGTGAATAATCTTTATCATTAGATGGAGAGTGTGGTGGAGAATCAACTTTAACAGATTCTTCTAAAAAAGCATCTTTACAAACAAAATATCCTGAATAATACAACTTAAATTTAGATTTGTGAAAAATTAATTACATTAATCTCTTACAATATCATACCGAATAATTACTTAGGTCAAGATTTTTTAAAAGACTAGTCTTTTAAAAAATTGGTGTCAGACCAACTATTAATAAAAATAGATCTATATTAATGGACTAATAAGATAGTGGAAATAATTGATGGAACATAACAAAGTAGAAATAATTGACGAAACAAATTGATTTAAATTTAAACAAAATGGTAGTAAGAAAACAATTCTAAAGATTTATACAGGTATTTATACAAGTAAATAATATAAAATAAAAACATAAGAAGAAATAAAATATCATTATTAGTTTTATATTTAAAAAATTCAGTTAACCTAAATGTATTGAAATTATTAAAATTTAAAAAATAAAAAACATTTTAAAAAATTACCTGGTCGATTGGGTTCAAGAAAAGATGGTAATGTTTCAACTAGCAACTGCTTTAATTGTTGATGGATTTTATGACTCTTCAAAATAGGAGCCAATGAGCTAAAAATTGTTCATAATTTCTTTTAAGATGACTTTAAAAAGGAAAAAAAAAAAAGTTAATGTCATAGTAAACAATTTCTTAAATATAAAATAAGATTTGCAGATTCAGATATTTCAAGTATTTTAATGATTCTATGTTAAACTGCAATGAAAACCATGTAATTTGTTTTTGTTAAAATTAAAATCATGTAATTTACTTTTGTAAAAGTGAAAAACATGTAACTTGCTTTTTATTTTCTTTTGTTAATATTTATATCATTTTTACCAAGGAAAAAAAAAAAAAAAACCCTCTAAAAATGCCACCCTACAATCAAATTTCTTAATTACTTTTAAAAAATGTGACTTTCGAAAATAAAATTATATATTTGGTTTTTTATCTAATTTTTAAATAAAACTGTTTTAGAAGCATTTAGAAACCATTTAGAAGTAAAATCTTCCAAGCTAAAGAAAAACTAAAACTTGGAAACAAATAAAAAAAAAAAAAAATGAAAAAATAGCTTAAAAACTAGCAAGCTAACAATTTAATTCCTTTTTAAACACTAACAATTGCAATTCAAACTATAACTAACAATTGCAATTCAAACTATAACCTAGATTATTAAAAAATTATGTTTTTCTTAATAATTCCCTCTCTTAACACTAAAAATTCAAAGCTCAATTCAAAAACTTTTAATTTTTAGGGAGAATAAATGAGAACAATATTAAAAAGAATGATGCAGTCCTCAGATTGATGTTGTAATTTATGTGAATAATTAATTTTGTCAGTTGTAAAACTACATAGTTTATTAAAAACATTCATATTAAAATTATTTACTTAAACTATTTAAGTAAATAGTAACTGTCTATTTTCTGCTTACCTTACAACTCGCTTATCCAACACTGAACGAAATGAGTTAAATATACCCAACTTGGTCAAGTGGACATGTTGGGGACAGTACTGTGTTGACATCTTCAATTAAAAAAATTATTTTTTATTAAACTTTAAAGTATAATACAATAAATTCAGATATATTAGATTTTTTAATACTTATATTAAAAATTACTATTTATTACTACAAATTTTGATTAAAAGATAAAATTCATAATTACCCTGCAGATAAAATCAAGCAGAATATAAGTTATGCTTGGATGAGTGCGAACAGAGTTATGCATCAGTAAAATTGCAGGCTCTAAAAAAACATGCATTAATTTATTTAATTTACCAAACACTTTACACTATTACTAGATTAACAACAATTATATATATATATATATATATATATATATATATATATATATATATATATATATATATATATATATATATATATATATATATATATATATATATATAATTGTTATATCTATATTTTAGTTAAACTTAAATTTCCTCAAAATGGTAATTAGAATCCTGATTCAATTTGATTTGCAAATCAAGAATTGCTTCGAATTGTGATTTGATTCGAAACTAAAAATTGTGATTCGCAGGGCCCTAATATATACATATATATATATATATATCAAGCAGAATATAAGTTATGCTTGGATGTATGTATATATATATATATATATATATATATATATATATATATATATATATATATATATATATATATATATATATATATATATATATATATATATATATATATATATATATATATATATATATATATATATATATATATATATATACGCTCTATATAAGCAACTCATTTGAACCAATTTCAATAAAAAAGTTTCTTATTGGGAAAAGTTGCTATTAGGGAAAAAAGGAATAAAAAAAATGCTTACCATTATTTCTTTTAACTAAACTATGTAGAATAAATAAATTCAGTTTTATTTTGCAAAAGAAAATATTTTATTGTTATTATTATTATATAAGCAGTGGTTGCAATAATGGTGTGTTATTATTATGTGTTATTAGAGGGAAAAAACATTACTTTGAAATTCGGGTTATCAGTAAAATTATTCTCAAACCCATGGCAAGTTGCACTATCTACTAAGAGAAGGGCTTTTATGAGAAAGTTTTTAGTTTCCAAGTATCAAGTTACTAAAGGTATGAATATTGTTATACCAGTTGTTAAAAAGTGTATAAGTTTGCCAAGCATTTTTGGATGATTTGTAATATACTGGCAAATTCATATTTTTGAAGTAATGAGGAGATTTTGATTTCCCTCTCATCATCAAATCTAATTTATGCATACCTCTAATTTATGCATACCTCTAGTGTTAACGCATAACATAATTTATGCATACCTCTAGTGTTAACGCATAACATAATTGTTACTCTTTCCTTCATTGCTTTTCTTCCAGCAGCTGATTTTTCAAAAAAAATTTTAACATTAGTTTTATTGGGCAAGCTTTTATAGACGAGACCAGTTTTGTCGTAATTATATATTTGTTTAGGCAAAAAGCCATTTTTAGCAATATAATTTATTTTGAAATGAACTAGCTAGCTTCACATTGCAAGACATACTCTCTGCACTGTGGAACTGTGAAGTCTTGGAGACTCCACAAACAGATAATATCTCTAAACCGTGACATTTTTTAAATTTTGTTAACCATCTATCACTTGTAAAAAATGTTTCAGGTCCATTATTTAATCTATTTACTTTGAGTGCTTTTAAATTTATCATTTTATTTGGAACTAAATTGTTTTATTGTTGCCGCCCCAAGAAACAAAAAAACATTGTATAGTCGATTTCACTATACTTTATTGTCTTCATTTGTTTAATCTTTCTCTGATTCACATTTTGGTTGCATGTTCTTCTGAATTTTCTTTATTTTCATTTACTCTACTTATAGTAAATTTAGAAACTTTATATTTGTTTCAAATTACTTTTGTTTTCTCACCATTTTGAATGTCCTTTAAAATGGGTAGTTAATCTTTTAACAATATTGAACGTCTTTTTTCTTCTGATTCAAATTTTATGGTTGAATTTAAAGCACAAAAATAATAATTCATTTATTATCTAACAGAAACTAACAGAGCTTATGTAACTATTCTGTTTAACAGAAATTCTGTTATTAGAATATGTTTGTGTTTTGTGCTGCCAATACTGGCAGCATAAAATACAAACATATTCCAATAACAGAATTTTTTTACAGTTTGAGGTTATTTTTTTTTCAATTTGAGGTTAATTTTTTACAACTTTGAGGTTGAACTGATTAATTTATTAATCAACAAAAACTAAAAAATTTTAAGTAACTCTTCTATTTGACATAAATTCACTTCAATAATTGCAAAAAATATAAACATATTCCAATATGTTGTTGTTATGTTGTTTTGAACAGCTGATTTTACTTCTAAATCAGCCTAAACTTAACTCAAATATTTAGCTTTAAAAAAATAAGTTGCTTATACAGAACAGTTAAACTAAAAAAAGTTGCTTGTCTAGAGGTTGCTTGTAAAGAATGTTACTTATAGAAAGGTTGCTTATATAGAGCGTTCACTATATATATATGTATATTAAAAAAAAAAACTACATAATTTTCACAACTTTAAGTTTCATGCTATTGCAATCATCAGGTAAAATCAGTTTTTTTTGTTAAAAAAATTCAACATAATTGGAACTAGTTAGGTGAAAATATACCAAAAAAACTATTGTTACAAGTGCATGTATCTAATCTTCAGCTATGTAGTTGCTTAACAGAAATTTATTTTCGTGACAACATCTGGAAATCAACATTGCTTTTTTATTAAGTAACTCTTTGGCATTTTTATAAAGTAAAAATATTAGTTTTTTATATGAACAAAGTAAACATTGTTTTGTTGTGTTGTTGTAAGCAGGGGCTTTTTTTAGGATAAACCAAGTTAATTTATGTGTTTCTTTGAGTTTTTCCCTAGTTTCCCATATATATTTTGAGAGAGTGGATGCATTTAAAAGTTTTTATTTCTAAAATGATTGCTTGTGGTTTACATATCTTATTTTCCAGATGCCCTCTGATAAACCAATATATGCTTTGCTGGGTATGTTTGAGGAAGATGTTATGCATTTGTAAATTATATTTGTTGCTCTACAATATTTATTCAGCAGGTAGATTTCTTTTTTGTTTGCAATTACACGGGAAATTTTCAGTTGTGCTTTTTGAATTTATTTTTTATTGTGACTATGATTTTTATTATGATTTTTGAAATGTTTTTTGAGCAGCTGTAGCTAACATTTTGGGATGTTTCAATTGAATAGTTTAAGCAATGGGTTTGAAGGTAGGAAATGCTTATCTATTAATTGTAAAAAGCTTTGGCCAACATTGGTAGAGATGCAATATTTTTGTAAGGTGTGTTAAACCAAACTATATTCCTTTTTTTTTGGGAGTGTCTTGTCTTTTGGGTTGTACTTAGTTAAAATTTTTAAAACTGTTTTGTTTAAGTTCTTCATATTCTGTATTATAATATTAATAATGAAGAATCTATAAATGATTATTCAATTAATACTGGGAGTCCTGATAATGCATTTTTATTTCTAGTAAATAATTTATCATTACTTTCAGCTGAAAGTTTATTAAACAATAAAAATAATAATGGATTTTCAAATTCACAAGTATTTTTAAAAGAAACAACTGAAAAACAACTGATGAAATCCTGATGAATCAATATTTGAAGATTTATTTGTACTCTTTGGTCTCATAAAAGCTGTCTTGTTTCTTGAATAATAAACAAAAAGTTGAGCAACATTTAATGAAGTGATTGTTGATGTCTATAAAAAAAAAAAAATTAATTCCACCTGGTTCGATGTGTTGCAGCAGTCACCTGTCAGTCGTCAACTCTATTAACCAAACAATCTATTAATCAAACAATCCTCTAGCGATCAGAGGAAAATTAGCATCGACGCCATTTTACATTTAAAAGTGTTGTAAGTGATTCAGCAATTACTTTTGTTACAAGTGATGTAATTGGTTCCAGTGTTAATGACAAGAGCCCATTTGCAGCCATTCAATCGTGGCTTCAGGTTTATAATTCATAAAATGTTCAACTTTAAAATAACACATTAACTTGTATTAATTTATCTTCCTATTTTAATATAGATATTTAATATAATAAATATTTTAATATAATGAATATTTTAATATAATAAGAATTACAGGGATGGTTTATCTGAGAGTAGAATTTTGTATACAAAATTACTTCATCTGTGTAAAGATTACATCATCTATAGTGTAGTCCGAGATTATCTGTACACTTTTGTTCAATATCATCTGGAAATTTAATGATCTAACAACACCTTTAGGAAGATTTATCTACGCCTGGGAATTTTTCTCCAAGTAATAACATCTGGAAGAATTTCCTCCAAATATAATTATATCTGAAAAAAATCTTATATATAACTACATCTGTTTAAAATAATGCATTACTAGTTAACACTTTTTTAATTAAATTTGAAAAAAATCATATGGTTAAAAATGCATTACTAAATAATAATTTTTTTCTCGTGTAATTATATCTGAAAAAAATTCTGTAGTTATTCTACAGAATTTTTGTAACTACATCTGTTGTAACTACATCTGTTGTAACTACATCTGTTGTAACTACATCTTTTGTAACTACATCTGTTGTAACTACATCTTTTGTAACTACATCTGTTGTAACTACATCTTTTGTAACTACATCTGTTGTAACTACATCTTTTGTAACTACATCTTTTGTAACTACATCTGTTGTAACTACATCTGTTGTAACTACATCTGTTGTAACTACATCTGTAAAATCCACAGATGTAATTGTACAGATATTGTTATACTTAAATAATTAAAAAGATATAATTACATCTGTAAAAATCATATACTTTTTACAAAATTTTATTAGACATCAATGAAATTTCTGATGTTTTTTTTTTTTTTTTAAATAGTTGGAGGTGCCTTAGTTACTGTATTAGCTCACCTGTAATCTACTTTATATGTATGTTTGTGTTCTGTCTGAACCTCTGGCGCGGTGTTCGCTCACCCGTAAGTTACTTTATGTTTTTCATGTATGTTTGTGTTCTGTCTGAACCTCTGGCGCGGTGTTCGCTCACCCGTAAGTTACTTTATGTTTTTTATGTATGTTTATTCTCTGATGCAGCGTGAGCTCAGAAACTAGCTACTTACTCCAACTACAAAACCTACACTCACCTTAGATTCCTGTATTTTGTTAGATGCAGTGTTTTTCCTAATGCACTTCCAAAATGTCATGCCTGGTTTTCTCAAAGTA